AGGATTTGATCAAAGAAACGTATATTTTCTAGAGGCTGGTAAATGTTATTTAATACTGTTTATTATAAACAGAAACTTGTATCTATAAAAAGAACGTTAAACATAAAAATGTCTTTTAATAAATAAATTGTCGGACTTTTGTCCATTTCTTAATATTATATATATATATATATATATCCAAGAAGCTATATACGGAATGAATTCCAATAACCAACAATTACTATTCTTAAAAGAGTGTTCAATACAAAGTAGAGCAGATATAATTATTATTTATAAAAATATGATATAATATGAGATTGAAAATATTATTTTGTTTAACATTGGTGTTCTTATCAATGATGATGCTAAATGTAGATTCAACATCATCACTTGATAAGACACTGAGGGTTTTGAAACAAAATGGTTATTTTTGTAGTGATTTTATAACATATTTATATATAAAACGAAAAAAGCACCCAAGAAAAGTAATAAAAGTATCCTTACTTGTATATACATAGTAAAAAAAAAGGAAAAGGGGACATTTACGTAATTAACCATAGTGTGCGTATGTAAATGACGGTTTAAGTAGTCGGCCGTCAGAGATGCAGGTTTTTTTTTTACAAATCACACTCTCTACAAGACCCTGAGGCCACTCGTGTTTAGAGAGTAAGAATCAGTTTATGCGGATAAGAGAAGAAGATAATTGTTAGGCTTGAACTCGCTAAGATTGTAGTGACCGGGGAAACATTCACTTGGGAGTCGGTTCTACAGAGTAGTAATGTGCAAGAAGAGGTACAGGCTTTGTTATCTCCTCTTTTAACAGTCCTGGATAGACGTTTGACGTTTTAGTAGACAATTTGACGTAATACTCACACATCCACAGTACCCGAGGGAAGGTAAGAGCGTCTTCAGGTACCTCACTTCTTTGCCAAAACTGAACACTAAACACTGATTTTTTATTGATCCATGTTGAAACTTGACTAATGCATGGAATAATAATACAACACAAAATGTACTTAGAACAAAATGTATTGAAACAAGAAAGTGTACACAATATTTACATATAGTCTTTTGTATATTCCTGGAAAGACCGTTCCTGGAGAATGTGTTGACTGAGTCGCTGTCGGGCAGAGTCTCTGGTTGAATCTCTTGATTCCTCTCTTCCCGGTACCAACCATATTTATATGGTCGGTACTCCACTCTGCAAATTAGGTGGATCCTACGACAATAATCCATAATCTGGCAGTGAACGCCAATCCTCGACATAGAACTTTATGTTAACGTTGCGAAGGACATCAGTGGAGAAATTGTGCACTGTTCAAACAATATTAGAATATTTATCCAAAACATATGTAAACTCCGCATTCTAATATCTTCCTGGATATTATTATCCATTTTCTCTCAATGTAACGTTAAAAGTCAACGTATTTATGGACGTTACAATGTTACACTGTATGCACATTGTGGAATATATTTTAAAACTCTATGTAACTTTGTAAGAAATTATTACGAACGTCACAGTCTTCTTCTTCTTCTATCTACCGTGATCATTCAGGACGTTGGAGATCAGAGCTTTTCAAAATTTTCTAACCTTTGTAGCACTTAGAACGGCTTGCTTTATTGCTACCTATCATTATCTCTGCTCTGTCAACAATTTACAAAGTTCGTTTGTCAAGTTATTTGCTGCTTTACACTCTCTCTACAATGTATTACAGTATATATATATATATATATATATATATATATATATATATATATATATATATATACAGTATGGGTATGCGAGCAATACGCTGGTGTGAATGCGGCATATATATATATATATATATATATATATATATATATATATATATATATATATATATAGGTCAAGATAATATAATATGGTTATAATTTATAACAATGGAATCCTAATCACGATCCACCATCATCGTGATTACGATTCCAGTGTAATAAATTATAACCATGGAATATTAGTGTTTGAGCCTTTATATTATATTTTTTCTGTCTTGACATTGAGCTCTACCTGGATTCTATCCCTTGGAAATATATCCCTTGAAATATATATATATATATATATATATATATATATATATATATATATATATATATATGCACCGATTTTTAGGGCGACTAGCAAATTCCTGCGCGCAGATACCTCTTTAGGTACACTTTGTTCAACATCCACATAACCCACCTGGCGTTTATACTACCACCGTGCTGACTGGACAGTTCCGTCTCCCCGATTTCACTAACGAGGCTTTGGTCAATCCGTCGTATGGACTTCAGGGTATTTCTCCCGGTGAGGTTCAACCACCATGAGATTCGAACCCGGGTTTCATGGACGCAAAGCGAACGTTCTAACCATTCAGTACATACATACATACTTACATACATACATACATGTGTACATATATGTACATATTTACCCACAATTTCATTTATGTCTTTAATTCATAAACGTATTTATTTACTTTTTTTTCACGGTGTCTCCCTTTTCGGGCCCTTCGCTCCTCTGGGGATGAGGGAGTTAACGAGAGTCTATTCTTCTTTGCCGTGGAGGGTTCGTGCCCGAAGGTACTGAGAGCGAGTCAACAACCTTTCATTTACATTGTAACTGGTAAGGCTGGCGATATAACCGTCTACCGTCAGAGCTAAGAGACATTCTTTTACTGGGCGGAGCCGCCTGCGGGAACGGGACCGAGATGAAAGCCTTAAGCAAATTTAACTCTCGTCGACGCCACCGAGGGTTCTCTTAGTTTTATTACCTTTATCCCAAATTTTCGTGTTTTTCTACTTTTTTCTTCTTCTTTTACTTTCTTTTTTCTTTCCTTTTCTTTTTATTATCTTCTTTCCTTTAACACTTTCGTTGCTTTATTCCTTTTTCTTAATTCATTTTTTCTTTCTTTTTATATATTTCTCTTTTCTTGTCTTTTTTCCTGTCATTTTATTTCCTTCTTATCCTATATTTTTCCTTTTCTTTTCTGTAGACACTTTCTTTCTCCTTATTTGTTTTGTTTACCTTTTAATCTCCTTTTCTTTCCTTCATTTCTGTCGTAAACTTACATTTTTTTTTCTTTTTTGTTCCGATTTCTCTTTTCTCCTTTTTTCTGTCTTCTTTCCTTCTTTTTCTTTACTTTTCCTCTTCTTTTCTTTACGTCTTCTTCTTTCCATCTTTTCCTATAGTTTTTTTTTTCTTTTCACGTCTGTGTTCCCTTTCCTTCTCCCGATTTGTTTTGTTTTAGTTGGCTTTTCTTCTTTTCTTACATTTTTCTTCTTTTTCGTTGCTGTTTCTCTTTTCTCATTTTTTTCTGTTTTTTTTTTATTTTTATTTTTCTTTGCTTTTCCTTTTTCTTCTTTTCCTTTTTTTCTTTCCTTTTATTTTAATTTTCTTTACGTTTTTCATCTCTTTTCCTTTCCTTTTCTCTTTCTTAAGCACTCATCAAATTGTTATTTCTCATCTTTTAATTCTGTCTTTTGTTGGTTTTCTTTCTCACTTTCTGTTTCTTTTTCTTGTTCTTTCCTTTTCTGTTTTTTTCTCTTTTTTTTTCTCTCCTGTTACTTTTTTCTTGTCTTCTATTTCCTTCATTTTCCTCCTCATTTTCTCTTATTTTTCATTTTGTTTTCTTTTCTTTGTTCTCTGCCCATTTCTTCGTCGTCTTCCCTTTTCTTCCATTTTATGTCTTTTCTTTTTATCTCTTTTTTCTCTCCTTTCATGTTTTCCCTTTTTTTTTTTCTTAATTTTTCATTCTTTCTTCTCTTTTATTTCCTTATCATTCATTTTTCTTTCATTTTGTTTTCTTTTCATTTATTTGTTCTCATCTTTTCTCTTTTCTTTTTTTATTATTATGGCTTTTTTCTCATTTGCGAAATCAACTGCGAACTGAGACCATCTCAGGTGGAAGAATCTTTACGTCTATATCTGCCGTATGAGGAGAGCCCAAACCACAACTAAAACTGATGCCGCAGTTTCAAAGTACTTTTTTTTACGGAGTACTAACTTGATATGCAGGATGGACTCTATTTCAGGTCTGTAGTCTTCCTACTGTCGTACTTTTTAACCACTGGTGTATGTTGGGGAGAAATATTAATACATTTCGCAAGTGCAATCTTTACCTGTTCAAGTCTAGAGTTAACCGTTATCTTCCTCTCTTAATAAGGGGACCCGGGCCTCGTACAAGGGTGAACGTCACTGTAAAAAAATATTTCATAATTGAGGAGTCCTAGTGCTGACTTCATATGAAGAACGTCTTAAGAAGGGGGTTTCTTAATGTTTGTGCTAAAACGTAAAAAAAACAAGGAGATCTATACGAATATTATGCAGAATTAAGGGCTTAAATAAAGTTTTTATTTGCGAAATAATGTGCACATTTACTGTATATATTGGTTGTTGTTATTATTATTATTATTATTTTAATAGTTTTATCCTGTTTTCTAAAGTATATTGCCATGATAGTTTATATATTTAAAACTTTCTTTGCTTAGACATTACTTTGAATCAATGACAGAATGCCGTCAGAAAAAAAAAAATCCCAAACTCTTTATTCCAAAAGTTGAACAATTTCCACTCTCATATAAGGTTAATTATTAAGATTAGGTTTAAAGGCAATTTGCATGTTATTATATTATATTAATATAACATTACATATATTTGTTGCTATGCATTAGCTTCAAGTGATCATTCATAATTATATATACACAAATGAAGCATAAATTTGTGAGCACAAAATAAGTGTATATATTGGAAATTGTGTTTATTGTCTCAATTTGACATTAGAGTGTATATATTAGATATTACACATATAAATGTTTATATTAGATAGTATACACACACACATATATATATATATTATTATTGTCTCAATTTGACATTAAAATTTGAATTTTCTATACTACTTATATGCAGACTATTGTCCTCATCTTTGTTTTTGTCATCACTCAGGTGTATGTCAATCTGGATAACCTACAGGACATTCTGAACTGAATCCTTTCTTTAATCTATGGGAGTAGACTGTTCTCATTCCACTGCCTATCATTAGTGATATCTCATTTAGTTCTTATTTTTTAGTACTGCTCGGTTATTACTTGTTCTCTTTTCACTAATTCCAATTAAACACTTTCCTACTTAGGGATTGAACTCGCAATTACTATGTCACCAAATTCACAAACCAACGCTTTAATCAACTAGGCTATTGTCCTGTAGGTATTCACTGTAGGTTAACCAGTTTGACATACACCTGATGAAGACTGGACGGTACAACAGCCGAAATGTGATAGCAATAATAAACATGAGGGCAACAGTGTAAATAATTGTATTTTAATTGTTTTATCCTTTTTTTTCTAAAGTATATTGCCATGATAGTTTATATCTTAAAAACTTGCATTGCTTAGACATTACTTTGAATCAATGACAGAATCCCAGCAGAAAAAAAAATCCCAGCCTCTTTATTCCAAAAGTGAACAAAATTCCACTCTCATATAAGGGTAATTATTAAGATTAAGTTTAAAGGCAATTTGCCTGTTATTATATTATATTAAGATAACAATACATATATTTATTGTTATGCATTAGCTTCAAGTGAGCATTCATAATTATCTATATCTATAATTTTCAAAAAATGCGTGTATGCATGTCTGTGTATGTATGTGATCGGATGTTGTTTATGCGTTTCCCCAGTTTTCATCCGATTTCGATGATTTTTTTTTTGTTTGGTAGATAATACTTAACTGGCGGTTTTGAGCCCAAATTGGATGGTAAAAATTTCACCTTGAAGGGGAAAAATTGAAAAAAACTGATTTTTTACACTTTGTGCAAAAATCAAAGGCAAAATTTAATGGCTGTAAAAAACAGCGTACAATCAATTTAGAGAGTTGAAATCTAACACAAAAGATTATTAAAATTATAAAAAAAAAATTATGTTCTAAATAAAAATTATCGTATATGATTATTATGACAATCTATGGAAGTGGTTCCTTCTTTGCATAATTGAGAACGCAAAAACGTCACTTTCAGGGCAACCCCACCGTTCAAATTGTTAACCCACCATTTGGGGATGTGCCTCAGTTGCACCCAATTGTCGTCACCAATACTGATTTTCGAGTTGGCTGAATTTAAACTTAAACTGCTCCAACTGAACGGCAAAAAATCCCCATTAATGAAACACCCGGACGAAGACGAGTTATACTGCGAGTGTATATATAAATGAAGCATAAATTTGTGAACACAAAATAAGTGTATATATTGGAAACTGTTTATTTTCTCAATTTGGCATTAGAGTGTATATACCGTACTTCCCCATGTATAATACGCATTTTTTTTCTAAAAAATAAAAAGCAAAATTAGGGGTGCGTAATGTTTTGAAGATTATTTTAGATGCACAGCTACAAAAAATATTCCAAAAATTGCTGTTTCATAGAGTGATTTCCGTTGCGAAATGAATACTAGCCACAAACATATCCGACAATTTGACACTAACTTTCGGCGATTGCGACCCCATAAGGATGTCAAATACAATCATATGTACTTAACAAGACTTACAAATTTAAAATAAAATAAGAATTAATATAACACTAAATTAGAATAATATTATTCTATGTTTAAAACGATTTTTGGCGAAAAAATACATACAGTATTTGGTATAAAAGGCTGTGATTTTCTCTGTTAGGTTTTTATCCTCTCGGTTTTCGACATGGATTCGTTTAAAGCAGGGGTTCTCAACAGGGGTCCACATAGGCCCTAGGGGTCCATCTAATATTTCTGGGGGTCCACAGGCAAAAAATAACAAATTGGGGGTCCACAATGATATTTTAGTGGTCCATGAAGAAAGCCAACTCAGAATGATTTTTATTATTAAAAATTAAATTTCTACTGTAATATACATTACATTGAAAATATATATATATATATATATATATATATATATATATATATATGAATGATTGATTTTTTTTATTTTTTATATTAGGTACCTCCACTGAATTTCCGATACCCAAGGTTTAGAATTAATTTTAAAAAATGAAAATCATTTTTGAAGATTTCATTTTAGCTTTAATTGAAAGCTAAACGATTAAATTTATCATTTCCAATAAGTAAAATATTTTGGCTTATTTCAGTATAAATGCTGCAGTGAATTCAATTGCCAGAAGAGCTCTGCTCCCCATGGGCTTGGCCATGGAAGAAACATTGTAATATTGTAAAACAAGATATTGACCAATAAAAATTATTATTATTATTGTTGTTGTTTGTGTTGTAGTAGTAGTAGTATAATATATTTGCATTAAATTAGTTTTCATTTAAAAATAAAACGTAATTATATATTTCCTCGATTATTAAAACCTCAAAATTCTTATTAGTGAAAAATAGAATATTTTTGTCTTATGTCAAATAACTATTAAGGGGTCCATGGGTAAAAAAAGGTTGAGAACAACTGGTTTAAAGTGTGAATCCCACCGGTATATGGGTCCAGTCGCCTGGCACTTAATTTTGAGGACGCCAAAGAGTACGACTACTCATCAAAGAAAGCGACTACTTGGGGAGACTGCTCTCGCAACTCGGCTTCATTAAAGATTATTCTCAAACAAAAGTTTGGAAATGTACTTTTGGACTGTTACCCTTTAAACACATCTATGCATCGCATTCTTTCCGAGTGTCACTTCGGATAAATATCTTAATCATTAGGTAGTTAGGAGAAGCCACCGATATAGTGACGTGATTAATCCTTGGCTAATTACAGGTAAGTAAATGAAAGTGATTAATATTATCATCAGTCAGTTATGTGCTATGCGTAATACAGGCTTAGGCGATCATGTATATTTCGATACATGATTGACTAGGCAGATTTTTCCCGCAGTAGGTTTCCATTTCTTTCTGTGTTAGACCAGTTGCATCCAAGGCTATAGAACCCGGTCTGTTCTACTATTTACCCATAGCTGGGAGGGAGAAGAGGATTCATGCCTTTCCCAAGGGTATTAGCACGTAAGTGAATGTAATGGAATTCGATCTCGGCTCTCCGATTCCTCAATCCGAGTCACTATCCATAACTCCACCTTGCCTCCCCAATCTTATCAACACTGAGCTACGAAAGTCGTCATTAATGTTGTCTCGTAGCGATGTTAATATTCGTACTTAGTGAACGAGAAGCTACGAAATATTTCGCAGGTTTACTGTGGCAGACTAGGGTTGAAAGTTTCGCTATTTGATACAAAATAGCGAATATTGTGTCATCGATTTTGTTGTTGCTGAGTAGTTTTCAGGGATACTTGGTTGAAAACGTCCTCTTTGGTGTTTCCTAGTGTCTGCAACATTTTCGCCAGCATTTTAAACTGGATGTGCGAGTAGTTTAATGGTTACCTACGCACAAATTGAAAAGATCCTGCCCAGAGCAGATTCCAGAGACTGCCGTTCTTGCTATCGCACTAACGCCCTTGAGAAAAGTATGGACACTTCTCTTCTCTCCCTCTCCAGATATAGGTTAAATAGCAGTGTAGACTGGGCTTAATAGACTTTTTTTTTAAGCATTTCACCACAAGCAAGGCGGGAAGCCACTAGGACACAAAGGGTTACAGAAAATTTAGAGCAAGATCAGATAGGAGTGATAGAGAAAAGGATGAGGAGAAGGGTAGTATATAGATCAAGGCAACTGGAGATGTCGATTGACATTACACTTGAATAGCTGGAGATTATAGCTCTCAGGGAAACTGGAATAGGGAAGGGAGTTCCACAAGTGAGAGGTGTGAGACAAGAAGCTATTGGAGTAGAAGAGACGGCTACATTTAGGAGTTTCGACAGTGAAGGGGTGAGAGCGGGATGCCAGCCTCGTAGGGCGCTTGAACTCATGAAGTCTGGGAACTAGCGAATTCAGCTCCTCGGAGCAATTGCCATGAAAGTATTTGTAAAACAGACAGAGAGAGGCGACGGCGCGTCTGTGAGAGAGAGCGACTATAGACGAGACGCCA